CCAGGAGGCCGAAAGCAGCTCATGCTCTGCCTGTACTGTTTGCTTTAGAGAAGCTTCCTTCGCTTTGGTTGATTCTAGGGGACCTTGACACGCTACAAAGCGCGAATTCACCCACGTGATATCTCTTAGTGGTGGCAACCCAGTTATATCCCTTCTGTAACACTTCACTGAGGCTTGCGAAGGCTTCCCCGCCGACACCCTTTCACAATGGTTTTGTGTGCGTTCGGATACCAGATTGGGCAAATTGCTGCTGGGATTTCCTTTGAGGCACTCGACCCCCCAGTGTCGTTGGACAGCAGCAGGGGCACCCTTAGAAGTATTATACGTGTAATATATTCATAAAAACGTTCAAAGTTCTTTTTGAATTTGTTTTATTCTTTTTTAATTTATTTTTCGGGTTTTTGCAGATGCGGAAAACGGCTACCGGGATCGCCTCGACCCAAACATCAATTTAGGTAAATAAATAAATAAATAAAAATAAGAGTAAATAAATAAATAAATAAATATGAATAAATAAATAAACAAATAACTATGATAGTAAATAACAAATAAATAGTAGATAAGTGATAAATGCTTCTTGTGTTCTAAAAAGAAAAAGAAATGGACCCATAGGGAAATGACGCAGCATGCGCAGCAGCAGCAGGAGCAGCAGCAGGAGAAGCAACAGCAGCAGCAGCAGGAGAAGCAGCAGCAGAAGCAGCAGCAGAAGCAGCAGCAGAAGCAGCAGCAGAAGCAGCTGGTTTTGACTGCTTAGGTGCTGTTTGCTGGCTTTTCAATTAAACAGCAGCAGTTGCTGCAGTTGCTGCAGTTGCTGCAGCTGCAGCAGCAGCAGCAGCAGCGGCAGTTCCATATATGCCAACTAGGAGTTAATTAACCAATTAATTAATTAAATAATTAATTAATTAATTAATTATTTTAATTAATTAAATTAATTTGTTATTTTTTGTTTTATTCTTTTTAATTCCATGCGCAGCAAAACCGAGAAAACGCAGCGGCGATTTTGTCCTTTTAAACCGAAAATCAGGCGAGCAGCAGCTAGGGTTTAGGGTTTAGGGTTTAGGGTTTAGGGTTTCGGGGTAAGGGTTTTGGATTATTGGTTTGGGGTTTAGAGTTAAGGGTTTAGGGTTTAGGGCGCAGGGCTTGTGGACTAGGGTTTAGGGTTTAGGGTTTAGGGTTTAGGGTTTGTGGTTTAGGTTTGGGCGATATGCACTTGGCGGAGCTCGAGACAATCGACCCTTCGAGACGAAACAAATGCGTGTAAGTAAATAAATAAAAATAATAAATAAAAAATAATTAATTAATTAATTAATTAAATTAATTTGATTAATTAATTAATTAATTAGTAAATGAATATGCCACTGCTGCTAGTAATAAAATGGTATTAACAGATGAAGAATTCGAAAGTGTGTTAATCAAAAAAGAAAAGTGTTTTCTTCATTTGTTTCTCTCAGAGCTTGTTTTGCCCTAGTAACAGCTGCAGCAGCAGCAGCAGCAGCAACAGCAGCAGCAGCAACAGCAGCAGCAGCAGCAGCAGTATGCGGCTACACACTGCAGCAGAACTCTGTAACCACTCAAGAGCTACTCTCACATAGTTTGCCAGTTGAACAAATAAAATAGAATAAAACAAACAAACAAATGAACAAACAAATAGACAAACAATAAACAAACAAATAAATAATAAATAAATAAATAAGTAAATGAGTTTGTTTTTGTTTGCGTTTTGCTGCAGTTCGTTCCTGAACAGCTTTTTGTCTCAGCTGCAGTCCGTTCCCGTCCGGGAAAGTTCGGAGTTTTCGGAGAATTCGAAAAGCAAAATAAATAAAATGAAAAACGGAAGCAGCGGCGAAGGCAGCGTGGGCGCGTTTGAGGTGCACGTACACCGGAACGGGGTGTACCCGCAGCGGGACGGGGTGTACGTACACCGCAACGCGCGCAACAGCTCGCTGCCGGCGCCAGGGGGCGTTTCGAAAACGCGGAAAAGTGCTTTTTCTTCGGAACTAAGTCGAATAGATATGCCATTAGACCCTTTTTTGGATTCCCCGTCAAAAAATAACCTTTTATCTGCACTTGTTTCCGAAATTGGACTCAACTGGAGCCTCGACTTCTTCACTTTGTCCAGACTCACCCAGGGGCACGTCTTGCCCACCGTCGCTATACAGCTCAAGCGGTCCGCCCCGCAATTCATTTTGAACTAATTAATTAATTAGTTAATTAATTAGTTAATTAATTGATTGATTGATTGATTAGTTAATTAATTAGTTGATTGATTGATTGATTGATTGACTGATTAATTTAGTTAATGAATAAGTAAATAAATAAATAAATGAGTAGATATGAGTTAATGAGTAAATAAATAAATAAATTACGTCTTCAATATTTATTTTTTGACGCGGTTGCTTCTGCAGTTGCCGTTCCTTTTGCCCCATTTCTTTACTACAGGCCATCAGTCGTTATTTATTTTATTTTATTTTTAGTTTATGTTGTGTTATTTATTTTAATTTAGTTTAATTTAATTTAATTTAATTTTACTTTACTTTATCAGTTTAATTTATTTCATTTGTTTCTTCTCTTTATTAGTAAATCGGCTGTTTATTTACGCAGCTCTCAACGTATTTATTATGTTTGCTTATTTTTGTATTTATTTATTTATATATTTATTTATTTATATATTATATTTGTTTGTTTATTTATTTGTTTTTAGTGTGTTTTTGTCTGGGGCAAATTCGCTGCCGATGGACGAGAGCAAATGGCTCGTTTTTTGCCGGGAGATTTGCATTAGGTAAAAAAATAAATAAGTAAATAAATAGATAAATAAATAAATAAAGAATTAATTTATTTATTAATCAATATGAATAAATAAATAAATAGTGGGGAAATTAAATAAATATTTAACAAGTGACCCTTTTAGCAGTTCCTCACAGGGAGTTCGCTTTTCTGCCACTTCAACTCTCCCTTCTTTTGCACTTAACCAAATAAAAAAATAAATAAATAAATAAATAAATTGATTAATTAATTAATTAATTTATTTGTTTGTTTGTTAATTTGTTTAACTGCAGATATCGGCAAACCCCGTACCACAACGAGCAGCACGCGGGGACGGTGGCGCACCTGAACGTGTGGCTGTTGCGTCGCACGGGTTTTTGGTTTTCGTGAGTTTTCTTTTTGGAAAAAAGGAGAAAATAAAAAATAAAAGGACAAGTGCATGCGTCTTGAAGAGAGGAACAAATCGAGGGGTCATTCGGGGGGCTTCCGAGGGTTTTTCCGAGGGTTTTGCGAGGGTTTTGCGAGGGTTTGCAGACTCTCCAACCGCCAAAAACTCGCCGTCGTCGTCGCAGCACTCACCCACGATGTGGGCCACTTCGGACTCAACAATTCTTTCCTCATCAACTCCAACCATCCTCTCGCAATTACTTATAACGACAGAGTTTGTCAATTAATTAATTAATTAAACAATTAACTAATTAATTAATTAAACAATTAATTAATTAATTTATTGTCCATTTATTTGTCTTTCTATTAGCTTTTTAATTCTGTATTTAATGCACCAATTGCCTCAGTATTTCCTCATCAACTCCAACCATCCTCTCGCAATTACTTATAACGACAGAGTTTGTCAATTAATTAATTAATTAAACAATTAACTAATTAATTAATTAAACAATTAATTAATTAATTTATTGTCCATTTATTTGTCTTTCTATTAGCTTTTTAATTCTGTATTTAATGCACCAATTGCCTCAGTATTTCCTCATCAACTCCAACCATCCTCTCGCAATTACTTATAACGACAGAGTTTGTCAATTAATTAATTAATTAAACAATTAACTAATTAATTAATTAAACAATTAATTAATTAATTTATTGTCCATTTATTTGTCTTTCTATTAGCTTTTTAATTCTGTATTTAATGCACCAATTGCCTCAGTATTTCCTCATCAACTCCAACCATCCTCTCGCAATTACTTATAACGACAGAGTTTGTCATTTAAATAAATAAATAGATAAGTAAATAATAAATAAATAAATAAATAAATAAATAAATATTTAATTGTCCTTTCATGGATTTTTAATTATCTATTTACTGCACTAATTGGCTCAGCATTTCGTCATGAACTTCTATCCTCCTCTCGTTGATTAATTAATTAATTAATTAGTTTATTAATTTATTTATTTATTCATTGTTTATTCATTATTTATTTATTTATTTATTTATTTATTTACTATTTATTTATTTATTTATTTATTTATTTATTAACTATTTATTTATTTATCTATTTATTTATTTATTAACTATTTATTTATTTATTCATTATTTATTTATTTATTTATTCATTATTTATTATTTATTTATTTATTTATTTATTTATTTATTTATTTATTATTTGCAGGCAGTGCTGGAGAACTTCCACGCCTCGGTGGCATTTCGGACAATTTTATTTTACTCCGAAGGAGCTGCAAATATATTTCACAAGTTCACCAGCAAACAGTACAAAGTCCGCAAACCCTAAACCCTAAACCCTAAACCCTAAACCCCAAACCCTAGACCCTAAACCCTAAGCCTTACTCTGAACCCTACTCTAAACCCTCTGTCTCATATATTTCACAAGTTCACCAGCAAACAGTACAAAGTCCGCAAACCCTAAACCCTAAACCCTAAACCCTAAACCCTAAACCCTAAACCATAGTCTAAGCCCTAGGTCTGGTATGTTTCCCAAGTTCACCAGCCAACAGTAGAAGGTCTGCAAACCCTAAAAGGCTCTAAACCCTAGGCCCTAAACCCCAAACCCTAAACCCCAAACCCTAAACCCCAAACCTTAAACCCTAAACCCTGATTCGGGGTTTGTGCAGGAAGAGCGTGTGCGGATAATAGAGCTGATTCTGGAGACGGACTTGTCGACGCATTTCGACTTTTTGGCGCAATTTCGACTTCAGTTGCATTTTTTGAATTCGAAAATAAATTCGGAAAAGAAATCCGAAATAGATTTCAAAAGTCCCCAAACCCTAAACCCTCACAAAACCCTCAAGACAGACCCCGCGGACTGCTGGACCCTCGCCAAGGCCTGCATTCGCTGCGCAGATGTCGGGTTGGTCCTGCAAGTCCCAAACCCTTTTTTAGGGTTTGGCACTTCCAACACTCCCAGGCGCCCCACCGCTTCAACTCCCCCAGATCGAGCCTCTAAACCCCACATTAGGGTTTAGGGCTGAGGTCTAGGGTTCAGGGTTTAGGGCTGAGGTTTAGGGTGTAGGGTTTAGGGTTTAGGGTTTGGGGTTTGTTCGGGTTCATTTCCGGGTCATTTTTCTCGCTTTTTTCTCCATTTCTCATCCCCATTTATTTATTTATTTATTTATTTATTTATTTATTTATTTATTTTATTTATTTTATTTATTTTATTTATTTATTTATTTATTTATTTTATTTATTTTATTTATTTATTTATTTATTTATTTATTTATTTATTTTATTTATTTATTTATTTATTTATTTATTTATTCATTTATTTATTTATTATTTATTTTCAGACATTCTGCAGTGAAGTGGGAGCAGCACTACAAATGGTCACAGGCCCTCATGAACGAATTTTTTGCACAAGTCAGTTCCAACACTTTTCTAATCTGTTTTATTTTGTTTATTTATTCATTTTAATTTATTTATTCATTTTATATATTTTATTTATTTTATTCATCTTATTTTATTTATTTCATTATTTTATTAATTTTATTAATTTTATTTGTTTTGTTTATTTTATTATTTATCTTATTCTGATTCTGCCTGTATATTTGTATTCATTTGTATTTATTTGTATTTGCTTTTTTTTTAATTTGTCTTTATTTATTTTACTTGTTTAATTATTTTGTTTGCTTTTACTTATTTTTATTTGTTTTTATTTGGTTCATTTGTTTTAATTGTTTTATCCTATTTATTTACATTTGTTTTATTTGCTTTTATTATTTATTTTGATTGTTATTTTGTTAATTTATTTAATTTATTTAATTTAATTAATTTATTTTATTATTTCATTTCATTCATCCCACGTGCGCCTTCTGTGCGCACTTTTCGCTCTTTTTATTTTTTTTCGTTTTTTTCGATTTTTGCGAGTTTGAGTCCAATTTTGTTCCTTTTTTCTCCATTTTTGTTGCATTTAGTTGAATTTTCGGAATCTGAATGAAGAAAAGCTTCACTTGCAACTAGAAGTCTTCAAAAGCGTTCAAAAGGTTCCAAAAGTTTCGAAAAAGCGGTTTTTGGGCGCTCAGGGGCGGCAGGAGCTGGAGCTGGGCCTGCAGGTGTCTCCTGTCTGCGACGAGGCCGCCACGGATGTCCCCAAAAGTCAAATTGGGTTTTTAAAATTAATTTGTTTTCCTCTTTTCGAAAGTTTGGCGCAAGCCGACAACTCCGGAGACCTCGCCGCGGTCCAGCCGCACTTTGCAGATCTTTTGTCCCTTTTTTCGTTTTTTTTTCGTCTTTTTTCGACTTTTTCCGACTTTTTTCGACTTTTTCCTTTTCTGAACTTGTTTTGCCTTTTTTCAGTTTCTTTTCGGCCTTTTTATTCTTTTTAGACTCTTTTTTTCTTCTTTTTGGACTCTTTTTCTTCTTCCGACTTGGTTTTGTATTTCTTCCCCTTTTATCATGTTTTTTCGTTTGTTTAGACTCTTTTTTCTTCTTTTTCTTTTTTGGACTTGGTTTTGTTTTTTCCGCCTTTTTTTGTTTTGTTTTCATCTTTCTTTCGTCCTTTTTGTCTTGTTTTCGTCTTTTCATTTTTCTTTCTTCTTTTCGGTTTTTAATTTTATTATTTTCATTTTTCATCTTTTTTGAGTCTCTAATTTTATTTTATTTTCGTTTTTCACATTTTTCGATTTCTTTTCTCATTTTCATCTTTTCCGCCTTTTTCATCTTTTCGGTTTTATTTTCATCCTTTTCAAAACAAAAGAATTCAAATAACAAATTTAAATAAATTAATTAAATTTAAACAAATTCGACTAAATGTAAATGCATTTAAGTAAATTTAAATAAATTTATTTAAATTTAATTAAAATTCAATACATTTAATTTAATTTAATTTAATTTAATTTAAATAACTTCAAATAATAAAAACAAATATTTGAGTTTGAGTTTTAAACCTTTTCTCCTTTCTCTCATTTCCCCTTTCCTTCTTCCCTGCAAATCTCCTTCCAACCCACTAATTCATTAATTCATTTATTTATTTATTTATATATATATATATGTTTATTTATTTATTTATTTATTTATTTATTTTATCTTTTGTTTTCAGATTTGTTTGAGTTTCTTGAAGGACAATTCGGAAACTTGGCAAAGAATTTCCGACAGTGAAATGGACTGGAGAGAAATCTCCCAAATCAACAAGTGCAACAAATACAGATGTGCCACTCCTCCGATGTAAACCCTAAACCCTAAACCCTAAACCCTAAACCCTAAACCCTAGTAAGCTCTAGCAGCCCCCTAGCAAACCCTAGGAAAGCCTAGCAAAGCCTGGTAAACCCTCGACGCTGAACTGAAGTCCACTGGAAGCAAATTAGCCCAGTCGACGACAAAATGTGCTAAACCCTAAACCCTAAACCCTAAACCCTAAACCCTGGGTCACAAACCCTAGGCGCCGAGCCCCGCGCTCCTCTGTCGAGGCCCTCCCCCTGGGGGCCCCCAGCAAACCCTAAACCCTAAACCCTAAACCCTAAACCCTAGAATCTGCAGTTGTTTAGTTGGCGCAGCCAAAGCGGCGCCCCAAGGAGCAATGGGAGCGTTTAGGGTTTAGCTAGGGTTTAGCGAGGGTTTAGGGTTTCGTGTATTTGTTAATAAATGAATTCCAAAGAAGTTCAAAGTTATTATTTCCGGAATGAAACAACAGCGGTTCCGAAACCCTCAAGTTTTTTTCGCTGTCTGGTCACACAAGGGTCTAGGGCTTTGGCTTTAGGGTTTAGGGTTTAGGGTTTAGGGTTTACTGTTTACGGTCTGTTGCTGATTCGAAAAGTGCCGGTAACAGCAGCAGCAGCAGCAGCAGTATCAGGAGCAGCAGCAACAGCAGAAGCTACAGCAGCAGAAGAAGTACCATACACGACAGCAGCAGCAACAGCAACAGCAGCAACAGCAACAGCAGCAGCAAAAGCAACAGCAACAGCAGCAGCAGCAACAGTAGTAACAGCAACAGCAGCAGCGGGAAAATAAGAATTGAACTGCCAGTGAAATGTTGGGGGTTAGTCATTTGTTGCTGTAGCAACAGGCGCAGCAGCTTCTGCTGCGGCTGCTGCTGCAGCAGCAGCCGTTGCTGCTGCTGCGGCTGGCGCTGCTTCCTGGTACTCCCTAAAGGGGAAATGGCACAGCAGCAGCAGCAGTTGCTGCTGCTGCTGCTGCTGTGCATTGCTTGCTAAAGTGTTTCGGTAAATTTACTCTTGAGGCGCTGCTGCAGGTTGCTGCTGCTCTTGTGTCTGCTGCTGCTGCGGCTCCTGCTGCTGCTGCGGCTGCTGCTGCGGGTCCTGCGGCTGCTCCTGTGGCTGCTGCGGCTGCAGCTGCTGCTGCGGCTGCTGCTGCAGCTGCTGCAGCGGCTGCGGCAGCGGCGGCTGCGGCGAAGGCGGCGCCAACGGCTGTTGATTTTGCTGCTGCTGCTGCTGCTGCTGCTGCTGCTGGGGAAGATGTAGAGAGAAAGAAACGGCATCTGCTTCGGAAGCTGCCTTGACAATAGCGAGGCTGCTGCTGCTGCCGCTGCGGCTGCTGCTGCTGCTGCTGCTGCTGCTGGACATGATGGGGAATTCTTTGGGAAGCTTCGCAGCAGCAGCAGAACATGCTTCATGTGCTGTTTCTCCTGCTGTAACGACGCCGAAGCTGCTGAGAGCAGCAGCAGCAGACTGCCCTGCTGCATTGTTTGCTGCCTCCGCACTGCTGCTTTGATCGTCAGCAGCAGCAGCAGCAGCAGCAGGGTTTGCAGCAGCAGCATCAGCAGCAGGCGTTGCTGCGGGCACAGGTATAGAGCCCTCGTTCGATGCTGCAGCATCAGGTGCTGCAGCAGCATCTGTTGCTGCAGCAGCATCTGTTGCTGCAGCAGCATCTGTTGCTGCAGCAGCATCTGTTGCTGCAGCAGCATCTGTTGCTGCAGCAGCATCAGGCGCTGCAGCAGCATCAGGCGCTGCAGCAGCATCAGGTGCTGCAGCAGCACCAGGTGCTGCTGCTGCATCTCCACTAGGCGAGGACTCGTTTGCTGCTGCTTCTGGAGCAGCAGCAGCTTCTTCAGCAGCAGCTGGCTGCGGGTCCTCTGTCAGCTGCACTGCTGCTGCTGCTGCTGCTGTTTCTTCCTGCGCGTCTTGGGCCAGCTCAGCAGCAACTGCTGCTGCTGCTGCTGCTGCTGCACTAGATGTTGGCGGCGGTGAGGGCCCCGAAGTCAATACATTCTGCAGCAATTCGTCAACATCTCTTTGGACTTTTTGCTGCCTCCTGATCTGCTGCATTGCTTCTGCTGCTGCTGCTGCTCCCAGGCGCAGCCGTAGCTGCTGCCGCAGCTGCTGCTGCATCTGGCTTCCCATTTCAATAAACGCCGGTGCTGCTGCTGCTGCTGCTGTTGCTGCTGCTGCCTGGTTGTGCTCAACTTGCAGCTGGGAAGGAGTGGCTGCTGCAGACAGAAGAGCAGCAGCAGCAGGGCCAGGAGCAGCATTAGCTGCTGCAGCTTCCGGCACTGCTGCTGCTGCTGCTGCTGCTGCTGCTGCTGCTGCTGCAGGCAGCTCCACGCCGCATGCACTGGCAATGCTGCTGCAGGCGTTTTCTGTCAATTTGATTGTGACGGTTCCCTGAAAATAAGATAAAACAAATAAAATTAAAATGATAAATTTAAAAAATAAATAATTATATTTGGTGCTGCTGCTTCATTCATCCAATGTGGAAGCTGCGAGCAGCAGCAGAAACAACAGCACCAGCAGCAGCAAACGTGGCAGCAGCAAACACAGGAGTAGCAAACGCAGCAGCAGCAAAAGCAGCAGCAGCAAACGCTGCACCGGCAAAAGTAACAGCAGCAGAAGTAGCAGCAGCAAAAGCCGTAATAGCAGCAACCCCACCAAAACACTCGCTAGAAGCACCTAAAGCAGCAGCAGCTAGCAGCAACACGAACGGCAGCAGAAGCGTGAACAGCAGCAGCAGCAGCAGCTACAGCCGCAACAGCAGCACGAACAGCAGCAGCGGCAGCCGCAGTGGCAGCAGCAAAAGCAGCAGCAGCTGCTGCAGCCGCAACAGCAGCACGAATAGCAGCAGCAGTGGCCTCAGCATCAGCAAAAGCAGCAGCAGCAGCTACAGCCGCTACAGCAGCACGAACAGCAGCAGCAGTAGCCGCAGCCGCAGCCGCAGCAGGAGCAGCTACAGTCGCAACCGCAACACAAACAGCAGCAGCAGCAGCAGCAGCAGCAGCAAGAGCAGCAGGAGCAGCTACAGCCGCAAAAGCAGCACGAACAGCAGGATCAGCCGCAGCAGCAGCAGCAGCAGCAGCAGCGGCAGCAGCAGCAAGACTTGCCGCAGCATCCGCGAAGAAAGCCGTGCTGCTGTTGATTTTGTCTTTATTTCCAAAGACAGAACAAACGAGAGCAGCAGCAGCAGACTGGCAGCTGCAGCCCTCAGCTCGCAAGGCGTAGCTCTTTGCTGCTGCTTCCAGCGCCTCTGCAGCAGCAAACAAATCCAAACAAATTGCTGCAGTTCACAACAGCAGCTGCAGCAGCACGTGCAGCAAAGCAGGCAGCTGCAAGCGTTGCAGCAGCGGTAGCTGCAGCAGCAGCAGCAGCAACAGCAGCAGCAGCAGCAAAAGCAGCAAAAGAGGCAGATGCAGCAGCAGCAGGCCCAGTCACGGCAGCAGCAGGTTGAAAGACACCACGAGCAACAGCACCACAAGCACGACAGCAGCAGCAGCAGCGGCGACACAAGCAGCAGCAGCAGCGACACAAGCAGCAGCAGCAGCAGCACTAGCAGCAGCAACGCAGGCGGCAGCAGCAGCAGAAGCAGCAATAGCAACAGCAACACCAGCAGCAGCAGAAGCAGCAGCAGCAACACCGCAACGTAGCAGCAGGCACAAAGCAGCTGCAGCAGCACCACAGTTACAACGACTGGAGAAGCAGCACCATGCATTCTACTACAGCTGCTGCTGCTGCTGCTGCTGCTGCTCTGTTTGCTGCAGCTGCTTCACTAAGTAGCCCACCGTTGCCTCCGCATGCACTCAAGTCCAGATCACACTGGCCGCCAGGCTGCTGCTGCTGCTGCTGCTGCTGCAGCTGCAGCTGCAGCTGAAATGGGGGAGGCTGCCTGGATTCCTGCTGCGCGTCAGGGGCAGGTAGCTGCTGCTGCTGCGGCTGCTGCTCCTGCTGCTGTTCCTGCTGCTGCTGCAGTTGCCGCAGAGTTTGCAGCAGCTCGCGCCTCTGTTCCTGCTGCTGCTGCTGCTGCACGCCCTGCTGCCAGGGCATCATGTTCTGCGCGCTGACGGGCCCCGTTTCCTGCTGCTGCGGCTGCTGCTGCTGCTGCTGCTGCTGCAGCAGCAGCATGTCCTTCTCCAGCTTCTTCAACTTGGCATCTATTGCAGCACTTTCTTCTCCTTTCATTGAAGACAAAACAACTTGAGGAATTGTTTGAGGGGCTGTGGGGGGTACAGCAGAAGGTGCATCTAGCTGTGGGAGGGGGGCCCCCGGGGGGCCCCCCAGGGGCACGGCGAGGGGCCCCAGTGCTGCTGCCGGCGGCTCGTCTTGCTGCTGCAGCAGCAGCTGCTGCTGCAGCCTCTGCAGCTGCTCCGCCTGCTGCTGCTGCTGAAGCAGCAGCTGCTGCTGCTGCTGCTGCTGAAGCAGCTGCTGCTGCTGCAGCGAAGCCCCGCTCGCCAGCAAACTCGCAGACACGCCGCCGTCAACTGCCTGTACACCTGAGAAGCCAAGCGCCGCAGGCCCTGCTGCTGCTGCTGCAGCAGGAGCTGCTGCTGCAGCAAACGGAACAGCAGCAGCGCCCAAACCTGCAGGCGGCTGCGAAGCCAGCTGCAGATCTATTGCTGCTTTCTGCGCCTCCAAAAGAGCCAAGTTGGCCCTGTCCACTTCGCTTTGCTGCTGCAGCATCTGCTGCTGCTGCTGCTGCTGCAGCTGCTGCTGCTGCAGCACTTGCTGCTGCTGTTGCAGCTGCTGCTGCTGCAGCACTTGCTGCTGCACGTGCAGCAGATCGGGCTGCAGCTGCTGCGGTGCGAGTGTCAGCGCCGGCGCCTCCGGCTGCAGCAGCTGCTGCTGCTGCTGCTGCTGCACCTGGTAATTCAGCTGCAGCAAAGAAGCCCCTGAAAGCCCTGCGGGCACAGCCATTGCCTTGGCCTCTTCGAAAGACTCTGTGGGTGGCACTGATCCATTGAATGCCTTTTGCTGCTGCTGCTGCTCTTGCTGCTGCTGATGCTGCTGCTGCAGGGGCTCCAGCGGCACTTGCTGCTGGAGAGATCGCCGGCCTTCCGCGGGCGAGAGCAGCAGCAGCAGCAGCAGCGTGCCAGCTGCTGCTGCTGGCAGCAGCCGCCGCCACCGCTGCGACCTGAGCTGCAGCAAAGCCATCTTTAAGGGCATGACACTGCGGAATGGAGCTGCTGCTGCTGCTGCTGCTGCTGCTGCTGCTGCTGCTGCATGCGTGCGAGGGTCTCAGCTGGCGGCGACCTCAGGTTTGAATTGAGTGTGTCTCCCCCTGAACAGCAGCAGCAAACGCAGCAGCAGCAGCAGCAACTCAACTACGGACAAAGAAGGAATTAAAAACAAGATGAAAACAAGTCCAAAAGTTCTCTTTCTGCTGCTTTGCAAAACAGCTGTTCTGCACTTGAACAGCCCTGGAGCAGCGCAGCAGCTGCGCCCCGGGGAGCTGCAAATGTCCACTCCTAGAGTCTCATTGCTGCTGCTGCTGCTGCGGCTGCTGCTGCTGCTGCAACTAGGAAGCGGTTGCGGCGAGCTCGGGCCTGTGTGTCAGCGTGGGGGGAGGAAGCGCCGCAGGGCGATCTGGGTTTCTGGGATCTACACATGAGAAATATAAAAAGAAAAAGTGGAATAAAAGGAAATAGAACTAACCTTTCGGTTTCAGCAGCCGGCGGCGAGAGGGCTAGCCGGAGCAGTTGCGAGCAGCAGCAGAAGTTGAATACGGACAGTTGGGGTGGAAAACGCCCTCTAAATGAGGAACGGGCGATGAATACACATGAAAAGTAAGAAAAGGAAGTAACTCGAAGAAATGCTACCTTGAATTCGCATGCCAAGCAGCAAACTTGCAGAGAAACGAACAGAAGACCAGCCCTGCCGAGAAATCGATGCTGCGCTCTGCGGTGCGAGACCTGCAGCCGTCAAAGGTTTAGGGGGAGAAAAATAAAAAAGAAATGAAAAGTGCGGCACCAAAAGCTCCAAAGTCGAAAAGAAAAGCCGCTAGAGAATGAAAAGCAAAATGAAATGACTGAGGAAGTTCGTGAACGAACAGAGTCGACCAGCTGAGCTGCCTGTACACCTGAGCCGCGCCAGCTTCAAAAACCAAAGATTCCCCAAATTTATTTGTCCTTTTGAATTTCCGACTTTGAAAAACCTCATTAAAATGTTTCTTTATTTCTTCTGGAGAATTGGAAGCAAAAAAAACGCCGCAGGACCAGCTTCCTGTGCCCGCCTTCCGCCTGCGCTGCGGCAAGCCGCGACCTAGAATCTCAACGGAATATGAACAAACAAAAGGAGGAAAATTATAATTAGTGTCTAATTTTAGAAATTAAATTAAAAATTAAATGGATCTCCTGCTGCAGCTGCTGCTGCTCTTCGATTTGCTGCAGCAGCTGCTGCTGTTCAACTTTGCCTAAGAAAAGGTGGCTCAGTGCAAGTCGCCTAAGCCCTGCCCCTAAACCCCAAACCCTAAACCCTAAACCCTAAACCCTAAACCCTGACAGCTGTCCTGGCTTGAAAGAAAGTCCTTCAGCGAGGCTTGAAAGTTAAGAAGCTTTTCAAACGAAATAAAAAAGAAATTGAAGAAGAAAATCCCCGGAGTAGTTTCTGGTTTTGTTTCTTTTCTTCTTTAGAGAAATAAAAACTTGAAATGAAATTCAGTTCAACTTCATCCAAAGCCAAACCCTAAACCCTAAACCCTAAACCCTGAAGCCTAAACCCTAAACCCTTGCTGCTCCTTCAACTTGTTTTTGTCTCCTTTCTGTCTCCATTTCTTTTCTAATTTGCATCTCTTTACTTTATTTCTTTGGTTTTCTCTTTTTTGAATTAAATGAATCTATTTCGCTTTTTTAATTTTGATAACTACAAAAAGACAAAAACGGTTTCCTCGTCAATTCATTAAATGAATACACTTCAATTACAGAAGTAATTAATTAATAATTTAATTAATTAATTAATTAATTAATTAATTAAATTATTAATTAATTACTTCTGTAACTAGATTAGTTAGCTAATTGATTTGTTAATTAGTTAATTTATCGATTAATCAAATGGTTAATTAATTAATTTTGACTAATTAATTAACTAATTGAATTATTTACTCACTTCGATTTGCAGACAAAGCAGCTGTTTCTTATGGCTAGCTAACTAGCTAGCTAGCTAGCCAGCTAACTAGCTAGCTGCAGCAGCAACAGCAGCAACAGCAGCAGCAGCAAAAACAGCAGCAGAAGCTGCAGCAGCAGCACGCAGGCACTTCGCCAAAATAAAGAAATATTTCTTCGCGCTTCGTTTTGTGTTGCAGCGGACAAATTTACCACTGCCCCCCAAACCCCAAACCCTTAACCCTAAACCCTAAACCCTAAACCCTAAACCTGAACAAAAAATTGGACCCCTGGCTAGCCACGGCTAGCCCCCGCCAGCTAGCTAGTGCCAGCAGCCTAGCTAGCTAGCCAGCAAGCTAGCCAGCAAGCTAGCCAGCTGGCTAGCTAGCTAGCAAGCTAGCTAGCTAGCCAGATAGCTAGTTAGCTAGCAACAGCTAGCTGGCTAGCGAGCAGCAGCTAGCTAAGCACATCCGGCTAGCTAGCTGGCCAGCTGACTAGCTAGCCAACTAGCTAGCCGGCACCGAACACTAGCTAGCTAGCTGGCTAGCTAGCTAGCTAGCTAGAAATCTGGCCTTGCGGGTCGAGGCTTTGCTGCTGCAGCGCGCGTGGGCTGCTGCTGCTGCTGCTGCTGCTGCTGCTGCTGCTGCTGCTGCTGCTGCTGCGGTAGTACTCAGCTTCGAGCGCAGCAAGAGTCTTTCTCGTGACTTTAATTCCTTTTGCTGCTGCCTGCAGCTCTTCAAAAGACAAATCCACTTTCTTCAAAACCTCCAAAACTCCCTCCAAAGAGCTGGCCATCAGCACCGCCTGCGCATGCACAAACCACTGTTTAGGGTCTAGGGTTTAGGGTTTGGGTTTTCCGGCGAAAGCCCCGCACTGCACTGCGGGGTGGAAAAGCAGCTAGCTAGCTAGTTAGCTAGCTAGCTAGACAACTAGCTAGTTTGGAACACAAGTTTGTTTAGCTAGCTAGCTATCTATCTATCTGTCCCCAGGTAGTTAACTAGTTAGCTGGCTAGCTAGCTAGCTAGCTAGCTAGCTAGCTAGCTAGCCAGCGAGCTAGCTAGCTGTGGCTAGCTAGCTAGCCAGCTGGCCACAGCTGACCACAGCTAGCCAGCCACAGCTAGCTAGCCAGCCCGCCACAGCTAGCTAGCCACAGCCAGCAAGCTAGCTAGCCAGCTAGCTAGCCCGCCACAGCTAGCTAGCCAGCTAGCCAGCTAGCCAGCTAGCCACAGCTAGCTAGCCAGCCGACCTCGTTGGCCTTGAGAATGGCCAGGGCGGTGGCGAAGAGCTGCTTCTCTCCGCGGAAAAGAAACAAATCCCAAATTCTCAAGACGGAGTTCAGTTGCAAATTATATGCAAACAAAGTCATCAGCCACCCCGACAGAAACATCGAGGCCTCCACGCCCTCCGCCTCCAGGTGCGCGCTCAGCCTGCAGCAGCAGCAGCAGCAGCAGCAGCAGCAGCGGCAGCAGCAGCGGCAGCAGCGGCAGCAGAGAGCTTCCGACTTTCTGTGGGTTTTGCGTTTTGGGCGCTTTTTGCTTCTGCTTTCTTTGTCGTGTCAGGTGTCTCTTGCTGCTGCTAGCGCCACACCACAGCCAGCAGCAGCAGCAGCAGCAGCAGCAGCAGCAGCAGCAGCAGCAGCAGCTAACTGGGGCATGTGGGTCTTGAGGAGTCTTTGGAACTGGAAAAAGTATTTGTTCAAAAGAGGCAGTCCAGGTCTGTACAAGTCCGCAAGAGAATACTTCGAAAGCAAACAAACCAAAAAACAAAATGCTGCTGCTTCCCTCATGTGCAGCAGCAGCACCCCACACACGAAGCCCATGCCTTGGCAGTAACCTGCAGCAGCAGCAGCAGCAGCAGCAGCAGCAGCAGCAGCAGCAGCAGCAGCAGCAGCACATGAAAAAACAAGCAAAGCAGCTGCTCAATTGATTGTCTTGGTGCCCAACTAGTTGATGAATTAGTCAGTTATTTATTTATTTATTTATTTATTTATTATAAAATTAGTTAATTCGGCGGCTGGCGGAAATTGCTGAGGTGTATGTACACCTCACCAACTTCGGGGTTGTAGGCGGCGTAGGCCTTCAGCACTTTGAGAAGAGCCTGAGAGCATTAAAAGGGCAAAAACGAATTTAAAAGAATCAAAAGTATAAAAATAACTAAAAACAATTTAAAATAATTAAAAAAGAATTAAAATGATTCATAAGAATTGAACAAATCAAAAAAATGAACAAGAAATGCAAAATTGGCGGTAAATGGAGATACGCTGCATGCAAAGAACGCATGCAAAGAACGCATGCAAAGAACGCATGCAAAGAACGCATGCAAAGAACGCATGCAAAGAACGCATGCAAAGAACGCATGCAAAGAACGCATGCAAAGAACGCATGCAAGAAAACCCGAACCTGGCGTTGCATGCAAAACCGAAGCGAAAAACGAAAAGAGGAAATATGCCGAATAGAAAAACGAATCCAACAGATAAAAAACCCCAACGAATTAATGAATCAACTAACCAATCAATCAACGAATGCACCAATCAATTAATCATTAACTAGCCATTAATTGGCCATTAATTGGCCATTAATTAACCATTAATTGGCCATTAATTGGCCACTAATTGGCCATTAATTGGGCAATTAATCACTCAATTACGTGCTGGCCCGCTGCGCGCTGGTCCCTGAAGAGAAAGTGTTTGGGAAAAGTTCTGTTGACGTCGCGCGCAATTACGGAAATGCAGTTCGAGGGTTTGGCCAGCAACTCCAAGTACAAACCCGCAGACAACCCCCCTGCACGCAGCAGCGCTAGGGTTTAGGGTTTAGGGTTTAGGGTTTAGGGTTTGGGGTTTAGGGTTTAGGGTTTGGGGTTTGGGGTTTGGGGTTTGGGTTGGGGTTTGGCGCGCCGTCGCCAGCTAGCCAGCTAGCTGGCTGGCTAGCTGGCGAGAAGGCACACAAATAAATTGACAAAAAACAAACAATAAACAAATGATAAATCAATTAGCGAACAAGTAATGAATAAATTAGTAAATTAGTAAATAAATATATAAAAAATAAATATTAGTAAATACGCAAATAAATAAACAAATAATAAACAAAAAACAATAAATAAATAAATAAATAAATAATAAATAGTAAATAATGAATAAATAATAACAAATAATAAAGACTTGCGTTCTGCAGCGAATTGGTGGAGGTTGACGAGTTTGGCCCAAAAGGGCCCCCTGAGGAAACTTGGGATTTTATTTTTGGAAATAAAAGATTTCAAAAAAGATTTTAATTTGATTTTCATTTTTTTGTTTTTATTTTCTTTTTGCAAAAGTTCCCAATTCAAAAAAAAGAAACTCCATTTGCTGCACTCCACAGCCAACTCCCCCACTGCTGCTGCTTGCCAGCAGCAGCAGCAGCCTGCAGACATGCAGCACCAAACTAGTCCACCATTTACTTATTTATTTATTTATTTATTTATTAATTTATTAATTTATTTATTTATTTATTTGTTTGTTTGTTTGTTTGTCTATTTATTTAAATGGAATTCATTTGGTGTGGCTGGTCTTTGAACTTCTGAAAACGGCAGATATGAATCTGTCCTGCTGCTGCTGCTGCTGCTGTATTTGCTGCTGCTGTAACTGCTGCTGCTGCTGCTTCGAGTGGTGTTACTGCTGAGGCTGGACGTGCGGTTGCTGCTGCAGCTACGCCCTTCTTGTTCCAGCTCCTGCTGCTGCTGCTGCTGCTGGTTCGTGCATCGCCGCCGCTATAACTACTGCTGCTGCTTCTGCTGCTGCTTCTGCTGCTGCTCCTGCTGCTGGTCCGTCCATCGCCGCCACTGTAACCACTCCTGCTGCTGCTGCTGCTGCTGCTGCTGCTGCTTCTGTTGCTGCTGCTTCTGCTTCTGTTGTTGCTGCTCCGGCTGGTTCGCTCATCGCCGCCGCTGTAACTACTCCTGCTGCTGCTGCTGCTGCTGCTGCTGCTGCTAACCTGTGGCAGACTCTTGGGTTTCTTGGGACTCGGTGTTGTCGTCGGGAGGAAAAGAAGAACTGTCGTTACAGAGAGCAGACGCGTTGGGCGTGAACAGCCCGAGCTGTTCGTACAGCAGAGGCTCGGAGTCCTCATCCTCCATTTTAGGGTTTAGGGTTTAGGGTTTAGGGTTTGGGGTGGGGTTTAGGGTTTGAAAGCGAGTGGGGGTTGGATCCGGTTGGAGCGCCACCCCGGAGCGAGATCGGCTCGCTGCAGCAGCTGCTGCTGAGCGCAGCAGCTAGAGGGGGAAAGCAGCAGCAAAAGGGGTCTTTTTGTCCGTTTCTTTCTGTAAATGACTTCAAAAAAGATGTTTCAAACCAAAAGAACCTTTTAAAACTCAAACTCCAAACTTACTTCCCAAGTTTCTCTTCTGGCGCGGCCGAGGCGGCGGCGGGGCCCCGCGGGGCTGCCGCTGCGCGGGGTGTACAGACAGCTCGGCGGCAGGGAGTCGTCCGGACTTCTTCTTCGAAACTCTTTTGAATTCATTTTCTTTTAATGAGAAATGAATTAGTTGAGAAATAAAAACAAAAGTAAAAGAGTTAAGCTCACGAGACGAGGGGCAGCTGCAGCTGCATGCGCGGGAGTCGGAGTGCAACTTCGCGGTCTTCTTTGCTGCAGTTCAAAACTTGAAATTAATTCAAGTTAATTATTTCCGCGTTTAAAACGCAAAAAGAAATCAAACTGATTAACTCCAAACTCCAAGTTCGCCGAAGACCTGCAGCAGCAGCGCCTGCAGCAGCTGCGCTTTCTGCTGCTGCGCCTGCTGCTGCTGCTCCCCGGCCTGCTCCTCCCAGGTGAAGCAGCAGCAGCAGCAGCAGCAGCAGCAGCAGCAGACGCAGCTGGACCGCCACTGGACCACTGGACCACTGGTCTGCTGCTGCAGCAGCAAGTGCATGTCTCAGCAGCAAAACGAGAATGGCAATGTGCAGCAAATTTGAAACTGCTTTTTTTGCTGCTTTTTGAATACTTAAATGAACAAACTGTATGAAAATAGTTTAGATGATTTAATTTACTTCTTTTCTAATAAGAGAAAGCATTGGAATCATTCAATTCGAAAGAATTTAGTTAATTAATTAATTAATTAATTTATTAATTTATTTATTTATTTATTTATTTAAACGAAATAATCATTTTGTTTATTTAAATTCTCCTTTTGTGTTTCTGCAGAGGCCAGCAGCGCCGCCGACGGGGAAATTCCAAAGCCGAAAAAATAAATCTTTTTCTTTTTACCAATAAATAAATAAACAATTAAAGTGAAATAATTAAATAATTAATATAATTGAACTAATTAAATTAATTGGATTAATTAACGCAATTAAATCAATTCAGTTAATTAAATCAGTTTAATTAATTAAATTAATTGATTTAATTAATTATTTAATTGATTTAATTAATTTAATTAATTTAATTTATTTATTTTAATTTAAAAAGCAGCTCAAAATGTCCGGCGAAAGGCTGAAGGAAACCACAGCCGAAATGGACGCGCTGATGGAGCGTAAGTCGAATTCAAATAAAAATAAATAAATAAATAAATAAATTAATTAATTAATTAATTAACTATTTATTATTATGTTATTATTAATTTATTTATTTATTTATTTATTTATTTATTTATTTATTTATTTATTTATTTATTTTTAGGTCTCCAAACAAATGCCCAAAACGTAAATCGGCTGGTGCCGCAGCGGACGGAGCTTCAGGCGGTGGCGAATGTAAAAATTAATTCTCGTTTTAAATGAAATTTAAAATTCAAATTAAAATTAATTCAAATAAATAATTCATTCGCCAGCTGCTGCTGCTGCTGCTGCTGCTGCTGCTGCTCAGTGTTTGCAGCTTGCTGCTGTTGCTGCTGCTGCTGCAGCGGCGTGACTTGTTTTGCTGCTGCTGCTGCTGGTTCTTTGTTTCACAATCTGCGCTGCTGCTGCTGCTTTTAACTCGCATTACCATCTGCTGCTGCTGCCGCGTTTTCGCCTCATTGCCCTCCGCTGCTGCTGCTGCCGCTGCTGCTGCTGCTGCTGCTGCTGCTGCTGCTGCAGGAGCTAACAGCAGCAGCAGAAGACGCAATAGTGTACAAAATGATCGGCCCTGTGCTGGTGCGGCAGTCGAAGTCCGAGGCTCTTCAAACAGTAAACAAAAGACTGGACTATGTTCAGCGAGAACTGTAAGTATTTATTTATTTCATTTTTATTTCATTTTATTTTATTTATTCTTTTATTTGCTATTTATTTGCTGCTTCTGCCTTCTATTTTGATCTATTTTGATCTGTTTTGGGGCTCTTTTCCTTTATTTTTATTTTTTGTTTTTATTTTCTTAATTTTTTTCCTTTTGGGTTTATTTGCTGTTTTTAAATTCCGCCACGGAGTCGCCTCTGCATGCAGCAATCCGTTTAATTGCTTTGCTGCTGCTGATTAGATCAAAGCCAGTTAAGCTACACAGCAGCAGCAGCAGCAGCAGCAGCAGCAGAGCACGCCACATAGCAGCAGCAGCAGCAGAAACAGATGCAGGAGCACCAGGAGAACATGTCACACAGCAGCAGCAGCAGCAGCACCAGAACAAGCCACGCAGCAGCAGCAGCAGAACAGTTCACACAGCAGCAACAGCAGCAGAACAAGTCAGCAGCAGCAGCAGCGGCAGAACAAGCCAGCAGCAGCAGCAGCAGCAGCAGCAGCAGCACTGAATATGCAGAAGTCCTTAAGGACCTGAGGAGAGCCTTTGCTGCATTTTGAGGATCAAATAAATGCTGAAGTATAACTAAAATTCAATTTTTGACTTTTTGTTTTCTGAATTCTTTTTTGAATTAATTTCTTCATTTTCGTTTTTGATTCCTTTTTGCTGTTTGACCTTTGTGGGTTTAATTCCTTCTCTTTTGTTTTAATTAATTCATTTCAATTTGGTAACTCTTTAAATCATTTCAATTCAGTTCTTTTAATTCTTTTGAATTAAATCCCCAATTTAATTGTTGTTTAATTCCTTCCAATTAGATTCTTTTGAATTAAATCCTTTTTAATTAGACTCTTTTGAATGGAATTCTTTGAAGTTAAACTCTTTTAAATTGACTTCTTTTAAATTGACTTCTTTGAAGTAACTTCTTTGAATTAAATCCCTTTTAATTAAACTCCTTCAAATGAAGTTCTTTGCAGTTAAACTCGTTTAATTTGACTTCTTCCAAATTAACTTCTTTCAATTAGCTTCTCTCAATTAACTTCTTTTAATTAACTCCTTTTAATTAACTTCTTTGAATTAAATTGTTTATTTCTTTTCCAGAGGCAGGTGCGAAGCAATTGAAGAAGAAACGATGCAGCAGTTTCGAAGAGCAGCAGAAAACAGAGAAGCTCTTCAAAAGAAAGTTCTGGAGAAGCAGAAGCAGCAGCGGGGGAGAGTTTAAGTGCATGCAAACAAAACAAGTTTCAATTTAAATATTATTCGCAAACAAGTTTTAATTTAGGTATTATTCGCCAAAGAAGCTTCAAATAAAGAAGTTTTAAATGAAGGAAGTTTGAAATGAAAAGAAGATTTGGATAGACGTTTTTAAATAAAAGAAGTTTTGAACGAAAAGAAGTTTTAAATAAAAAGAAATTTTAAATAAAAGAAGTTTTAAACTTTGTCGAAAATAAAGAAAGACTTGAAGGCAAAGTGCAGATTCGGGAGGGCCAGAAAAGAAGAAAATGCTTTTCAAAAAATAGTATTTAATTCCACAGACGCAGCAGATTGATCTTGAAAAAAGAAAAGCATTTATTCAAATTAAATACTTGGAGGGAAGGTATTTATTCGAATCACATTCTTGTAGAAGTATTTATTCAAATAAATACTTCGCAAGGATTTAATTTGAATTAAAAAGGTTTATTCGAATTAAATACTTTTAAATTATAAAGGCATTAATTCAGATTAAATTCTTTTTAAGAAGAGAATTTAATTTGAATTAATACTCCTCGGGGCGACCCGTTTACAGAATTATTTGGCGACAATGAAAGAACGGAATTGAACAGAATTCATTTTAATTCATTTAATTCATTTTAGTTCATTTAATTCACTTTAGTTCATTTTAATTCATTTAATTCATTTTAATTCATTTAATTCATTTTAATATATTTAATTCATTTAATTCATTTTGATTCATTTAATTCATCTAATCCATTTAATTCATCTAATCCATTTAATTCATTTAATTCCTTTAATTCGTTTGATTTATTTAATTCATCTGATTTATTTAGTTCATTTAATTCATTTTAATTGATTCTAATTCACTTCGACTCATTTTAATTCGTTTTAATTCATTTCAACTCCATTTAACTCGCTTTAAATCATTTTAATTTGTTTTAATTCATTTTAATTCTATTCAATTCATTTTAATTCATTTAACTCTTTTAATTCTTTTAATTCCTTTAATTCTTTTCTTTTAATTCTTTTAATTCAAATGGTCGGACGGCGGCAGCTGCTGCTGGTTCATCAATTGGACGGAAGGACAAATAGAGAAAAGAGAAACTGGAAAAGTGGAATTAATAAAAACAAAATAAATGAAATAAATAAATAAAGGAAATAACAAATAAACAAATAAATAATAAAACAGTAAAACAAATAAGATGAATAAATAATGAAATGGTAAAACGAAGAAGAGAAAACAAAAAAGAATTCGAAATTCAATTTGCCCTCGTGCTTCATTCGGCGCCCACGAGAGGCTCGAACCTGCGGGAGAAAAGTTTTTGGAATTTCTTTTTGAAATTAAATCAAAAATTAAAAATTAAAATTAAAAGTTTGGATTTAATTTGAAATACAATTGGGACTAAAGCGCAAGTACAGCACAAACAAACAAACATGCAAATGTGCAATTAAACTCCAAATTAAACAGAATTAAAACAAATTAACTCGACAACTTCAACTCAAACTGCTCACTGCTCCGCCGCGGCAATCATCTCGTCGAAGCTCATGCACTTGTTCATGATGAAGGTCAACACGATCCAGACGCTGGGGCAAGCAAAAGTGAAGTTCAATTCAACTTATTAATTCATTAATTCATTTGATTCATTTGATTCATTTAATTCATTTAATTCATTTAATTCACTTAATTCGTCTTATTCGTTAATGCACTTAATTTATTTTGATTCATTTTGATTCATTTAATTAGCCTAGTTCATTTGATTCATCGATTCGTTTAATTCAGTTAATTCGTGTAATTCATTTAATTCATTTAACTCATTTGATGTATTTAATTAATTTAATTCATTAATTCATTCAATTCATTTACTCCATTTAATCAATTCATTTAATTAATTTGATTAATTTGATTAAATTAATTAATTTGTTTTGTTGGATTTGAGGCAAGTTAAAAAATGAATTCCGTCGAAGGAACGCTGACGAGTTAGATGTGCATTTAGAAAACGAAAAGGAATTCATGAATTGAAACAAATAAATTAATTCAATTCAGTTAATTTCAAATTAGTGAATTAATTTATTTATTTATTTCAAATTGGCAAATTAATTAATTTATTTCAATTTATTTCAAATTAGTAAATTAATTAATTTAATTCAATTTATTTCAATTTATTTCAATTCCAAAAATGCATTTCTTCTCTCACCAATACACTTCAAACAAAACCACCAAAGAAAGCGCCCCAGCAATTCCCAACTGGAAAGCTGAAAAGAGATTATGAGTTTTTGAAACCCTAAACCCTAAAAGGTTGTTTCTAAACCCTAAACCCTAAAAGGTTGTTTCCAAACCATTACATGCAGTTTAGCATATCTTTTGTTTTTTATTTCCTTTTTCAATTCGGGGCTCTAAAGACAAGCCTTTAGGGTTTGGGGTTTAAAGGCAAGCCAGGGTTTTTTCTATACGACCTTTTAGGGTTTGGAACTCAAAGATGAGCCTCTAGGGTTTAGGGCTTGGAAACAACATCTTAGGGTTTAGGGTTTTGTTCTTACGCCGTTTTTGCATTTTAGCAATCGCGAGCACTTCGTCTTGCTGGTGGGTGTTCAGCTTCTTGAAACTGTTTTGAATTTCAAAATCACAAATAATATAAATTTCAATTTTAATTTAATTTAACTTGATTAATTTAATTTAATTTAATTTAATTTAATTTAATTTAAATCCAAAAAATTAAAAAGAGAACTCACTCAGGTGGCAATTCGCTGACAGACACTTCTCCGTTCTCCCCCGCAGTTTGATTTGCATGAGGGACTAAAATTGAATTAAATAAATAAATAGATAAATAAATAAATAAATAAATAAAAATATACTCGAAAGAAAAACCAAACAGCAGCAGCACAAGCAGCAGCAGCAGCAGCAGCGACACCAGCACCGGCAACAGCAGCGGCAGCAGCAGCACCAGCGCCACAAGCAGCAGGACAGCAACAGCAGCAGCAGCAACAGCAGCAAACCTGGCAACAGCAGCAGCAACAGCGGCAACAGCAGCAGCAACACCGGCAACAACAACAACAACAGCAGCAGCAGCAGCAGCAGCAGTACCAACAGCAGCAGCAGCAGCAGCAGCAACAGCAGCAGTACCAACAGCAGCAGCAGCAGCAGGGAGTCACCGAAGGGCATGTGTTCGTAGTCTGGGATTTCGACTTTAGGAATATCAATTGTGGGCAAATGGAAGTCGGTGAAGTCCAGGGGTTGCTGCAGCTGCTGCAACGGCTGCAGCTGCTGCAGCGGCTGCAGCTGCTGCAGCTGCAGATCTTTCAGCACTTTTGCAAAAACTGGATTTGCCCGAAGTCGATTAAAAGCAGCAGCAGCTCGCGCTCGGTAACGGGCTTTTATTTCCAACTGCCGGAAACCCTCCGCCGCCTGAAAACGCCACGCGTCGAGGGTTTAGGGTTTAGGGTTTAGGGTTTAGAGTTAGGGTTGGGTGCTTGAGGTTTGGGGCCAGGGCTAGAGTTTAGGGTTTGGGGTTTAGGGTTTAGGGTTTGTTGTTTAGGGTTTGGGGTTTAGGGGCTTAGGCGCGCGAGAAGGCGCAGGAGGCAGGTTTGTGCGGCGAGTGTGTCCAGGACTTCAGGGTTTAGGGTTTAGGGTTTAGGGTTTCGGGTTTCTCACGGCTCCCTTGGGCGCGGGGGGCAGGAGCTCGATGGTGTCGGAAAAAGTCAAAACGACCAAAATGAGGAAAATGAGACTGACGATGAAGCTGGCGAGATAAACGATTTCCACGGATTGGTTGCGGCGCCACAAGCCCCAGATTCTGAAGTTGAAGGGTTTAGGGTTTAGCGTTTAGTGTCAAACTGAAGAATGAAATGAAATAAAGGTTGCTGCTTACCCTAAGATTGCGCTGAAGCAGTTCGTGATCAGCAGAAACCACGCAGGTCCTATGAGCGTCGGCCGGAGGAATTTGAACGACATAAAAAGAAAGACTCCAACGAGAATTTGGAGGAAAGCGACAACAACAAGTCCCTGAAGATGTCCGAAACTCAAATTGGAGTTCTTCTCAAATTATTTCGCGCGGAGAACGCTTTTAAATGCTGCTTTTGCGGAGTTTCCCCCCGGAGTTTTCCCCCCGGAAAGCTCCAGTTCAACTTGTGCTCAAATGCAAAACGCACCGATCTAATGCTCATAAAACCGAGGAAACTGCGCGCTTTAATCGCAGAAACGTCCATTTCGGCAAAGTTTTTCAAACGCAATCAAAGCTTCCGCCAAACTTAATAGTTCAAGTTTCCACTCTGGCTCGATGCAAGTTGAACCCGCGCACCCGGACCACCCGAGGTGTCCAGACACCTCAACTTGCTCTTGAATTCTGGCGAGATCCGGCGCCAAATGGGGAATAAAATTCCCTTTCGCTATTCTCAGACCCCTACTTCTTGAAAATTGATCGAGACAAGCTCATCACGAGAGCCAAGCAGGCTATTTTGTATCGTTTCCGTACACCTAGGGCGTAGCAGGCTGTGGCAGCAGCCACAGGCTGCTGCAGCGGATCTGAAACAGCATCCTTCTCCCAAAGTCCCGAACGACTCAGTTATTTTTCTAGGGAGATAAACCTACTTCAGTCACCACTCCTCTACATCTAAATCTATCCCTAGTGCAGCACGGCGAGTTGCCGCTGCTTCTGATCGACTTCAAGACGCAACGCATTTCAAAGGAAAATAATTGAGGAGCAGCGGGAGCCGCCCTCGACCTCCCCAGTGTCCAAGGAGCGCAGCAGCAGCAGCAGGTTGCTGCTGCGCCGCTGCTAGTCTGCTGCAGCTGCTTCACTTTCGCTGCTAAGTCAGTCGACCTGGGCCACGTCCTTCTCCGTGTACTTGCCCTTGTTCGCCGCCTTGCCCTTCCGCGCCAGCAGCGCCTTTCTGTCTTTGTTCAGCTTCGGCTTCGTAATCACGACTTTGCTGGGGTGGATCCCAATGAGGCTTTCCCCTGCAGCAGCAGCAGCAGCGGGGCTCAGCAGCGGCAGCGGTGGCCGACGGCGGGCCGCGCCTTGCAGCAGCAGCGGCAGCAGCAGCGGCAGCAGCAGCAGCAGCAGCGGCAGCAGCGGCAGCAGCAGCAGCAGCAGCAGCAGCAGCAGCACCGTTGGCCTTCTCGCGGGAGATGCGCTCGATGTGGATGACGAACTTCTTGCGGTACACCTGAGTGACCTTTCCCTCGCGGTCGTGGAAGCGGCCGCGGACAATCATGACTTCGTCGTCTTTGCGAATGGGCAGTGAGCGGACCTGCACCAATCAAATCAAATCAAATCAAATCAAATCAAATCAAATCAAAGCAAAGCAAAGCAAATCAAATCAAATCAAATCAAACCAATTTGTTCCTTCCAGTCTGTTCTTTCCAACGGACTTTTGCTGCACCTGCCCGCGCGCGCCCGAAACGAGCCGCGACGCGGTGTACGTACACCCCAACCGAGCCCCGCCGCCTGCTGCTGCTGCGGCTGCAGCGGCGGCAGCTCCGCAGCAGCAGCGGAAGCAGCGGCGGCCGCCGCTCCAGCAGCCGCTCCTGCTCCTGCTGCTGCTGCTGCTGCTGCTGCTGCTGCTGCTGCTGCTTACGTTGAATTTCTTGCGGAGTTCCTTGCAGAGAGGCGCCGTCATGATCTTTCTGCGGACACTCGAGGGCGCCCCGAAGTGGGCCTTGCGGGCCTTTCTGCGGGACGCGGAGACACCTGAGTGCATGCAAAGTGCAGCAGCAGACTGGCTGAAATGTCACTTTTGTTCATTTGGCGAATTGTTTCTTCACTTGACTCCTTGTTTGAACAGCATGCGCCAGTTGCTTTGCTGCGCCTCAGGGAGACAAAGACAGGCCGGAGGCTGCCAGTGTTCGAGCCGGAAGAGAGGGGGAGCCAGCTCTGCGAAGCAACCTGCTGCTGCTGCTGCTGCTGCTGCTGCTGCATGCACTGCGCTGCTGCGCGCAGTGGGGAGCTGCTGCTGCTGCTTCGCGCGGCTGCGAAGGCCCCAAGGCCCTTTTGATTTGCAAACTGGAAAATAATTCCAAGAGGAAAAGACGCAGCTGCGGGGAGGCCCGCGGCGGCGAAGTCCCGCAGCAAAGACTCACTTTTGTTGAACTTCATTTCGACTCTTCGAGGAAAAAGGACCTTTCCGAGGCAAAAGAAGTGCAAAATGGACTCCAATTTGCAATTAAAAGTAATTTTAATTGCATTTAATTGCTTTTGGACTCTCCGCGGCCCCCAGTTCCCCCGCAAGCTTCCACACGCCTGCCGAAACGCCCCCACGCCACCTCGGGGGCTGCAGCCCCGCGGCGCCGAGCGGCGCCAACTGCAAAGGCGAATTTTCCCTCCAAAAGCTGAGTAAATGTTTTAAATCGATTAATAAATTAAATTTAATTTCAATTTGGACTCCACAGAACCCGCTTGTCCGCTACAAGACCCGCCGCCGCCAGCGGCAGCGACGAAGGCCCACGTACGTGCAAGTCCTGCGCCGCGGGGGAAGCTGCGGGAAAAAATGCCTAGTTGCTTCTTTTTGCGGATTTCAAACTTTTTAAAGTTAATTTTAAACGTTTTCTGCGGCGTAAAAATCTCAAACACCTGCGGAAAGCGGCCGTTTTCGCGCGCTTACCTTCCGCTGCTTCGGTGCTGACAGCAGCTGCCGCGGGCCCCGTGCCACGCCGGCGGTGATCAGCCCCAAATGGCTCCGCAAAAATGCTTTTGAAGAGTTTTCTGCCGCAAATAAAATTCATTGAAAGCAAAAAGTTGCCGGAAAAAGCAGCCAGAGACAAGATCGCGTTCCCGAGCTGCTGGCGGGACTTGGCGCGCTGGCAGTACAGTTGAGTCGACGCACTGGGTTGTTTCGCACGCTCACTTCGCCCTCGCCGCACTTATTTGCATTTCCCTTCCAATTTCAGGTCTTTTATTCCATTTGCTGCTTCGAAACCGCCGCGGCTTCCCCCCAAAGCCCCCGCGCCGCCGGCCGCGCCGCTGCTGCTGCTGCTAGCGCAGCAGCTATTTCGGCTGCCTTTTCTTTGCAGGACCTTCCCTGTCTTCGCCAAGTCCACAAATTCAACTTTCTGCAGCTCGCTGTGGCGTTTGCTGCAGCAGCAGCAGCAGGGGAGGCTCTGTCCGCTGGCTTGGAGGCAAAGTGAATTCCCGAGTTTTATCTTCTCTTCCGCTTTTGTCCCAGCTGCTGCTGCAGCGCTGCTGCGCCGCTGCTGCGCTGCTGCTGCGCTGCTGCTGCGCTGCTGCTGCTGCTGCTGCGGTTAGATGCTTCGAGGTTGGCGCAGGAGTTGGGGTGTATGCGCAGCTTCCCACAGCCCGCGCGCGATGCGCGCGCCTCCGGACTTCATTTTTTTTCAGGTGTTTCGCCAAATATTATTTAAATATATTTTCAAGAAAATATATTTAAGTAATATCAAATAATAATGAACTTTTTGCCTCCTTCTTCTCTTTTTCTCGGCCTTTCCGCCTCTGCAAGTGTCCGGAGACCTCATCGGGAAACTTGGACAGAAACAAATGAAAGGGAGCTCGACGACGTCTGCACTCAGCTGCGCGGGGGGCCCCCCGGAGGGCCCCCCGGGGGGCCCCAGGGGCCCCCGGGGGGGCCCCCGGGGGCCCCCCCTGCTGCTGCTTCCCAGGGGGGCCCCCCTGAGGGCGAAGCAGCAGCAAGGGGGGCCCCCCATCTTCCCGAAGAAGACCAAACTGCAGCAAAAGACTCTCCCCAAACAGACCCCAGTACCCCGAGGGGGGCCCCCTTGAAAGCTTATTCTTCGGTCTCTCGATTGCTGCAGAGGGAGGTCGACTCGCCGCCCCCCAGCAGCAGCAGCAGCAG